TTTTTTTTTTTTTTTTTTTTTTTAGAGTCAGAGAAGTTTCTAACCCAGGGCCAAACCAACAGTCTGAATTATGAATTTGGAGGTTACAGAGCACGGGGCTGCACGTGAAGTGGGAGGAAATGAAGACACCCTTGGTTGTTCTATTTTTAGCACGCGACTATCTCACTCATCGAGATTAAATGATAACCATGGGAGCTGGAAGAAGGTGCAGCCCTAGAACTTATAAAAGGTCCCAACTCAGTCCCCGACTACAATGTGTATCTTAAGGGGGTTGCTTCCTTCCAGCAAGTGGAGATCTGACCACTGTCGCTCTTTTCCTATGCACAGGTAGGAAGTGCGTGGAAACAGGAGACTGAGCGGCTCAGTACTCAGAAGGTTCTAAGCATCCATTGCCAACATACAAGCTGCTTCCAGCACACAAATCAAACGCTCTCTTGGCCTCTTCCATCCAGCTTCTCAGCAGTCAGTTCCACACCCCACCCACATTGTTCTGTTCTCTGGACCTTGGCCTGTGGCTCCCTGGAGTATGCTTTGACTGTGCAGGTGAGTGCCTGGGCCCCCATGGCAGCCTTTGACAGTTTGGGGGAGCTCTGAGGCACGATGTTGCTCCCTAACTCTCATGCCATCAAGAGGAAACCATACCAGGAAGAACTGTGCTGGATTCTCAGTCTTGCTGACTCCTTCTACCCTGTTCAACTTCTCTAAAATCGGTCTCTCCCCTGGGGACACCTTCTGTGCACATCCTATGCACAGGGCTTCCCCTTGGGCTTGTTTCTGGGGAACCAGCTTAAAATAGATTCACTGTCTCCTGACAGTTATTAAATGCTCCCCAGGTGAGGGCCTGCTCACACTTGCTGTGCGCGCCAAGTCCCCAGGATGAACTTCATCCTGGCCAGCCTTGACATCACATGTTCTCTGCAGTTAATTTCCATATTCGATAAAGTCACAGAATATTGGGACTGGAAAAATACAAAACCTCATATAATGCAGGTTCCCACTGGTTGCTGGGTTCTTTTTTTCTTTTCAATTCTTGATTTAAAAAAAATGATTTATTTTACATACCAACCATGGTTTCCCCCCCTTCCAGGTTGCTGGATTCTGTGCATAAACAGCTTACACACGCTTCTCTTGGAATACCCACTGTGACAGAGACTCATTGCTGAGACAGCCTGTCACACCTGGCAGGCTTCCCAAGGTTCTCCCAGAAGAGCTGACCCTTCTTCCCAAAGCCTCTTTCTTTGATCTAGGATATATATCACTGAAGACATTTCAGGTGGTTCTGGTCAACTTCCTAACTTCCTGCTTGGGTGGCAGCTCCTTATCTTATCTCTTAGAATGTTCTCGTGTTCTTTCCACAGGTTAGAGTACTTCAGAACCACTGAAACAAAAGATGGCTACTTCTTCTCTGGGTGTCACATAGCCATTCGTGTAGACATATGCTTCTTTAGCTTACTGGGGCTACCACGTGACTCTGGTTGCCAATCTTTATAAAATCCCCTTGCTTTCAACCATGCTGTTTTCATGGTCATATTTTGCACTCATATTAGGGTTTCTTTATTCTTATCAAAATTAATTTGATCATTTCATGTTATTGTATTAGATTGTGCAACCTGCCTTTCTTCTTCTCTAGCAATGGGTTTAAGCAAACTCTGGGTACTAGAGTTGGACCCTTACTCTTAGGCTCAAAGACTTTCAGGCATGAACCTTCATTCATCATGTCTTGTTTGTGGCACAGCAAGGACCTGGCAGTGGGGAGGATGCTCAGACATAGGCACAAAGTCTCCCTTTCCTTTGGAAAATAGAGAGATCTTGCTGATGTAACTCTAGGCCTGGCTCCTTGCCAGACACTAATTCAAACTGTTTGTTCTAAAAGATAATTTTCCAATTACTGTGAGCATCACAGTTACGTGAGTACCTCAGTGACCTGCAGAGTGACCTAAGAGGTAACTAACTTACCTCCTCCTACAAGGATGCATCCCAACACGGATAAACGGATTATCCCTGTATATGGACTCAGACCAGCCAACCCTTTCGAGGCTGTTTGCTAAAGCCACAAGATCACAGTACTCATGCCTACTTTTGTATCTGACGGTAATGATGGGCTCTTTGCTTCCCATATGGGCTTTCCTGGACCTCTGGCTTGGACAACCTTGTACAAAGATAATTCATCCCTGCATATGGGGTGTGTGCTGTGTTGTGCATGTAGAACATTGCCACTCACAAGTTCAAGGCGTCTTCCCAGTAGGGGTATGTGGAAGGTGTGCATGGAAGCTCAGACAAGCACAGCAGTGGGGACCCCACCGCAGCTCACTGTGTGCCCCATGCACAGTCAGCCTCCCAGAGTTGTCTGGAGCCTCGCTCTCTGCAGCAGTCTCATCTTGAGGACCAGACGAGAGTACAAACCCACACTCACCTGGGATTGGCCTATCACCGGGATGCCATTATTCAACTTCAGCATCCCGTTCACCCCGTCTCTGTACAATAACACCGTGTTCCAGGCCCCAAGTTTGATTTTGGTCTCACTTATGATGATAGCGGTCCCAGTTCCACAGTTAAACCTGGCAGAGGGCAGGGGGTCGAAAGGAAGAGTCTAGAATAAACCAGTTTATGTTTTCAGTCTCCACATCATCACGTCCAGGATAGACTCCTCTCTTTGGTTTTGGGATGAGTGTGTGTGTGTGTGTGTGTGTGTGTGTGTGTGTAGTGTGCATATGTGTAGGTCAAAGGTTGACACTGGGTATTTTTCTCAATTGCTTTCCACCTGATCTTTTGATACAGGGTCTTTCGCTTATTTGGGACCTCATCATTTTTCTAGACATGCTAGCCATGTCTGCCTCTGTCACATCCCTATAGTGACAGATGCTGTGGTCACAGTGACATTTTTCTATGGGTGCTGGGGATGCAAACTCAGGTCTCCATGCTTCTAGAGTAGGCACTTTGCTGACTGAGCCATCTCCCCCCACCCCCAGCCCCTCCATTGGTTTCGAGACAGAGTCTTACTCTGTGCTCCAAGCGCCTGGAACTCACTGTGTCATCCTGGCAATGACCCTGCGTCTCCAGCCTCCAGAGTGCTGGGATTGCAAGCATGAGGTACTTCATCTGGATAACAGTTAGGAGTTAATCGCCCAGAGTTGTTTCTGTGGCTATTGAGAGCCACATAACTCTACAAGAAGAGCTGGGTCTTTCTTCTCTCTAATGGCCCTGGTCTCCTTACTGCTGATCTAAGGCCTAAGAGGCTTTATGTATGGGGCCTTATTAACTGTGGCCTCATCTCTCAGCCACTCAGGAGTAGATGGAGTACAGAACCCTTGTCTCTTCTCCAGAGACAGCCAGATGCCCAAAGTCAATGTGAGCACCATGAATCTGAGCACAGGAAGGGTCAAGGCTGATGCCTGTCATTTATCCACAGACATTACGTGACCTCACTTTGCTTCCTGGAAAATCAAAGGTTAACTAAAAGCAGTTTCCAAAGTATCTGGTAGGGGGACAGGTAATGACCAGGGTACAGGAGGCAAGGCAGGGTTCAGCTCAAACCCAGAGAAGTCATGAGAGGTTTAGGCCTCCATCAGTCCTTGGGAGTCTGTGGCCCCTCCCTGTCCCCCATAGCTGTCAGCCTTCTTGTCTCAAGGAGACTCTGAGAAGATTCTGCCTTCTACTTGAACTTCAGGGAAGAGAGGTCTTGGCCTTTGCCAAACTGCCACGATCCCATAGTGGCACGCCTAACTGGCATCAGAATAAGTGAATGAGGCAACAACATTCCAATACTCCAACTTCAAAGGTTAGCCCGCCATCCCAGCTGTCTAGGACTTGAGAAACTGACCCCGGCTCACCATTCCTTTAGTGACTGGAATCTACTTGTATGAGCTGGATTGCGTACGACACATGTGGTAGAATTTTTAAACCTACAGGACTTAGTGCAAGAGTTACCTGAAGTGGAGGGAGCCCTGGATGAGAGCCAGGGACATGAAGTCGTCTCTGCCGTTATCGTTCTCCCCACAGTAGAGCAGTAAGCCATCCTCTGCCTCTGCCTGTGGGCACACGAGTAAAAGCCACGTGAACCGTGACCACACCTTCTCCCTCATCTGTAAACACTTACGAAGACAAAACATGAATGGTCCCCTCTGCCATCCTACTAATGCAAGCCCTTGGACTCTGGGGAGTTCCTACGTACCCAGGTTGGTTTTACATTTAAAAATAACAGTGGTGTTAGTGTATGAGGAGAAGCTCTGAGGTGAGGAAGGCCCATATCCGACCTGCGCTTTGCTTGACTTTGTGGGTCCACCTGCAAAACTTCCAGAAAAGTCTGTGTCCTAACGCCCTGGGCACAGACTCCTCTGCTTGTGTTCACCAATTTCTGCTCTCACTGATGAGTATTCTGTTTCTAATGTGCCCTTTCTACTCTTTCTCTCGACCCGGGAAGCACATATGTTTGCTCCTTTCCTTCTATCTAACGAGTACGAACAATCCACTGGGTAGTCATACTGGGTGTGTTAGCTGACGGACAGGCTACCTCCCAGACAGTTAAGACTGTTGGGACCAATTGAGTCCTGGTTTTCTGCTGTTCTTTCCTGTCTAGAGCCTTCTAATTGAAGTTACTAGAAGCTGTGCCTAGCCTAGAGGATCAGAGGTTGGGATTTTCACCTGTTGGCCATTGACTGCAGGGTATTTAAGCCTCCATGGTGCTATTAAAGGGGGCGTTTGGGTACGAGTGTTAGAAGGTCTTTGTGTCGGTCTGTCTCTGCGTGTGTATTCTCAACCTCCAGCCCTTTGCCCGAAGCTCGCGAACTGGGTTCTAGCGCATAGAGTGCGGGGGGGGGGGGGCTGCGGTGTGCGGCATAAGACCATAACAAGGGGTACAGGTTTCCAGACCCCTGGCCCTTTCACATCATCAAAGATACTCAAAGAATCACATCAAGTTTAAGATGCTAGTCAGATACCCATCTTTAGATGATTGGAACCAGAGCGATGGCTCTGAAGGGGCTTGGGGAATGGAACACTTAGTTAGTCTTGAAATCCGCCCACTGCATCATCCTGGAAGTAACATTCTCACTGGGAACCCAGTCTTCCAAAGTTCATGACAAGCACCGTCCCCTCCCCACCCCAGCAGTATACTTGAAAATTGTGACTGTACCTAACCCTTGCTGGATTTTGTGGCTGATTGCAGGTCAGACTTGGCATGCCATATTTTTGTGTGTTGTCCCCTCTTCCCTCTCTTCCTCTGATGTGCAATCAGATGAGTTCAATAGATACTCATCACAGGACAGCTCCACTTACCCTGAATTCCAGAGTGATCCGAAACGTCTGGTAAGAGTTCTTCAGAGGCTCAAAGGTTAAGTAGGAGTGACCAAAAAACTGAGGATACTGAATAAAGATATCTGAGAGAAAAAAAAACACAATGTGACAAGGTGATCTCGTCTCATTCTTTCTGAAGCAGAAATCAACAGGCACCATTGTCTGCTTATCACCCAGCAAAACCCTCGTCCAATCAGCCACAGTCAGCTTCCTTCCCATCTCCCTTTCTCTGCCTTTCACACCGACTACTCTTGGGATCAAGGAGTTTCTGAAATTCTTCAGAAAAAACTGGGTTTGGGAGATCGGTATCTGCTTCCCGGAAAAGAAAGGAACAGCTTGAGGTCCAACACCACTCATTTCCACTCTGAGCTTCTGCAGTCCTCAAGCATCAGCCCTCTCTGTCCTCCTGGGTGTCCTGGCTATTTTGATAGAAATGTAACAAGGGCAGAGTCCACATCCCTGGTTCTACAGATAATTTTACAATAACTGCTCCAAAGGACCTCACACTGGACACACAAAGAAACAGGCTACCACATCAGAGAGGCAATGAAAGATGCTTCTTACTTTGCCTGGGGGAGCTAAATAGAAGGCTCAGCAGTTAAGAGCCTGCTCCTCCACAGGTCCTGAGTTCAAGTCCCAACAAACACATGGTTGTAGCTCACAACTATCTGTAATGAGATCTGGTGTCCTCTTAAGGAAGAGACCATGAAACCCAATATGGACAAGTTCAACAGGACTGTCACATACGGGCTGCCCATGCCCGCTTCAGCGTTGCCAGGGAATAAATTAATTATTATTTACATAGAGAAAAGGCTTATGTCACAAAGAGGACTAGAAGGTGCTGTGTTTGTATCGCACAACCGTCTACAGGACTCTACAGGTTTAGCCATGCTGTTTACCCCCTTTCCAGGGCTTACCTTCTGAGCAGCCCTCGCCTTTTTTGCCCAGGCTGCAGTGACAACGTGATCCCCCCCAGATGTAGTCATTGACACAGAAGCTGTCACCCGGGCAGGGTGTCTCATCACAAAATGTGTCAAAGTGCCTTGACGTCACGGCCACATTATTACCCTTCCGCTGGGCAGCGGTGTGTGGGATGGCCACTGTAGTTTCAGGGAGAGACGCTGAGGTAGGTTGTGCAAGCCTGGAACCCATCTCTGGGCTGGAGAGAAACGTCTTCTTAGATTCCATCCCATTCCCAGTTTTGGTAGCAGAAAGTGGTTTAACCTAAGTTAGAGAGGAAAGGACTTAGTATAAACGGGAAGTCGTCTTTATATTGGATAAATGCAGTTATTGAATCACAGGCTTATTGTTAACGTCCAAAACCCCCAGGAGATCAGTAAGACAGAAGCATGACCCCAGTTTTATAGAAAAAGACTTTGAAACTCAGAGAGTTTAAGCATCTTGTCCTGTACTAGTCAAAAAATCCTGGTGTGGTAAAGCTGATATTCTACAATCTATTCTTACTAAACTATCACAAATTGCATGGCTTTGTTAAGGAATCATTCATTTTCTTTTCTTTCTTTCTTTCTTTTTTTTTCTTTTGATTTTCAAGACAGGGTTTCTCTGTAGCTTTTTTTGGTTCCTGTCCTGGAACTAGCTCTTCTAGACCAGGCTGGCCTCGAACTCACAGAGATCCGCCTGCCTCTGCCTCCTGAGTGCTGGGAATAAAGGCGTGTGCCACCACCGCCCGGCTTATTCATTTTCTTATACTGTCTCATTTTACAAAATTCTGTGGGTGGTAAATCTATATTTTTTTGGTAGTTTATGAAGCTGGTTGTAGACAGAGGTTTCTCATAGGATATCAGCCTGCTAGGAAACTCCCTAGTGCTAATTTATGTGCCGTACCCGCCACCCCCAGCTTATAGTCAGAGGAAAAAAATCCTTGCAGAGAGCACACGGGCCCAATTCAATCTGAAGTTCCATGTCCACGCCCTGTGGCTAAGCTGCTGCGGTCAGTAGGGAAGCAAAGCACATTGGAGGTGACAGCAGAGGAGTGGGTACCTCCTCCATGGACACATCCAGATTCAGATCGTCTTCAGATCCGTCATCATCTTCGGTCACTCCCATGCTGGTGATATACCGAGGTCCATAGCGGCCACTTCCGGTCTCCTCAGGGCCTTCGCAAAGAAAAGCATGTGTCCTGTCACCTTATGCCTTCTGTGTCCCAACTTTCTTCTTTCATTATTTTCTTAAATAATTAATTTTATTTTATGCGCACTGGAGTGAGGATGTCAGAGTCCCTGGAACCGCAGTTACATACAGGTGTGAGTTGCCAGGTGTGGGTGCTGGGACTCAAACCAGGGTCCTCTGGAAGAGTAGTGAGTGCCCTTAACTGCTGAGCCGTTTCTCTAACCCCTTCTTCTTTAATTATTAAACTTTCAAATTACTTTATGAAATCTGCCACTTTCTTACATGTCTGGCCTTAGACTTTGCACTCATTTCCCTCCTCACGCCCTCCTGACCGCCTCCACCTTCTACCCAGACCGCAAAACATTTACTAAGCAATCGGTTGAGACTCAGACCCTCTGCCGTGTTCCAAACGCCCTGCCTCTCACAGGCTCCATATTACTCCCCAGCTCATGCTAACTGAGAAGAAAATAAATAAACACAAATAGAACCAGACCCTGCATAACTCCAAGAAGCCTGGGATGGAATCCTACCGCTCTTCTCTCCTGACTGTGGTGGGGGACGGCATTCCTTCCTCCATCTCATATTCTCGAAGCTTCCACCAATTTTGTCTTCCACTGAGTGTAGGATGATGTACATGCTATGCTACTGATAAGAATTCTCCAAGTAGCCCCGGGTTGCTATAATTAAAGCGCGTAACTTATCTCTTTCTACTTGGCCCTTGGTTAATTAAGGAAAGAGAACATTAAATAGCAGCCATTTATTAGGGCCATAATAGTCTAACCACAAACAGAATGCAAAACAAATTCTGGGTTATTCCACATTAAGGAAAAAGAAATGATACAATACAAATGTTTCTTGGTCAATCAAACGATGCCCTTTCCTTTATGAAGTCCATATATGTTTGTGTTTAGGAAGACATGGTTTTTCTGTACATTGTTTCTCTTATGATCAATGATATTGAATTGGAAAAATCTCTCGGTCTTGTGAGATAGGCACAAGAATCTGTTGCTGGGCAAGTCATTTAATCTTGTTAGATCTTGTGATTCTGAACAAAATGAGGGTTTGAGAGATAGCTCAGTCACGGAAGTGCTTACTATATGAGTGTGAGGGCCTGAGTTTAGTTTCTAAAACCTATATAGGAAAGGTCAGAAATGGTGGTGACCCCTTGTAGTTCAGGTACTGGGAAGATAGATCCCTGGGTCTCACTGGGCAGTCAATCAAGCCAACTCCGTGAACTAGAGGCTCTAGAGAGAGAGACCCTATCTCAACAAATGGGATGAACCTGAATAATGACACCTGAGGCTGTCCTCTGGCAGGCACACAGACAGACAGACAGACAGACACACAAACACACGTGCACATGCATGCATGCACACCTCCCCCACATAAAATGAGTGATGAGATTAGATTTCATGACTGTTGAGTTCCTCAGTTGCTTTGACACTAAAATTCACACTGCTGGTGCAGACATGCTACAGACGTCTGCACATAGGCCAAAGTTTGGGAAAGAAACAACTAGAAGGTTTTACTTACAAGGATGAAAAGCGTCTGGTAAGACCTCACGTGCTCTGAGAATCAGAGCTTTGTGTTTACAATTCTAAGCTTCCATGAATCCCTGTCTTATCACTACCAGAATCACTTGGTACAGGGGCCTCAGGGGAACCTGTCATAACAGTTCAGCTCAAGGAAGCCCCAGTGGGGATGCTTGCTCTCCACCCTTGAAGGTTCCTTTGGGAAGATGAAATCAAAACTAAGAAGTATAGGGTTCTTGTCCAAGTTTTCCATTTCTACAGAGTGGAGGTTGGGATCAAGCTGCATTTGGCCCACACTTCATAACTGGGAGATTCTGGGAGGGAGGAGGAACTGGGGTAAACTTGGTTCCTCATTACCCTTTCTTCACTAGGTCTAGAAGAAAATATTAGTCACGGTAGGTAGAACTGCCACAAATGGCCAAGCTTCCCAAGCAGGCTATCACACATTCCACACCAGGCAGGAGGTCCTAGCAAACCCACCTTGACTCTCAGAAAAACATAGCCTTTTAACTTAGCATCCTTATCAGACATAAGGATGCCTCTCTGCTAATGGCATTGACTTACCTCTAATAGATTCTAAAAGTGGGCAAAGAGAAAAGGGGCTGTTAATTGATGCCTAAAAACCACTCTGCTGCCACTGGAACAAGAATGACTTGAGAGAAAAGGCTTATCAGTAAATTAACCCTTGGCGTCCACTGACAGTCAATCTACGGGTGCTCAAGTCCCTTATATAAAATGGTGCAGTATGCACACACTCTTTACGAACACAGTCTTGTATGTTTTAAACCACAGCCGGATTCTGTATAGTGCCTAATTTGGTGGAAATGTTGCAGAAATATTGCTGTGTTGCTCTTTCCCCTCCTGGAAGGGGGAAAGCAGAGAATAACAAATAAGATTCAGGAAGTAGCCAAAGATGAAAGCACCCAGGAAGCTACGAAAGTTCCAGAGACAATGAGACAACTGAGAGACAATGGGTTATGGAAAGAAGCTGGGGCATTTCAATACAAACACAGAAGGGGAGTCTAGTTAGGTGGAAAATGACAGATTAGAGCTACAGCCTGAATCCCTTCAAAGTCCCCCCAAGACCTTTCGTAGTTTGGTTTCGAAAGTCAGAACCTTGACCGCGTTCCAATTTATTCATCTTCCCCTTGCACCATCCAAACTGGTTCTTCTTTCAGATTTTGTGACCTTTCTGATTAGGAGATACATGTTTTTGCACCAACAGGAAGGATCCAGGGGGTAAGCAGAGCAAGGGGGGCTTTATGGCATGGGAAAGGGTAAGCCTACAATGCTGGCATGTGTAGTCTTGTCCCCACAGTCAGGGCTGGGACTTGGTGTATACATAGATCAAATCATGACATTGTACTCCTTAACTGCATGCAATGATTATACATCAACTTATAAAAAGATACCTAACAAAAATAAATCAATTTTAAAAACACTTGATGACCAAGGGAAAGAAAATACACCCAAAGATGGGCTGAATAAAGTAACATTTCAGCCAGAAATGAGCCTTTCATCTAGACGCAAGTGGGCAAAAGATTTGCTGTCTAAAAAACAAGTCTAGGAATCGAGAGGATGGTTTCTGTGCAGGTAAGAAGTAGTGTAAGTGCGGAAACAGGTAGGCCCAGAAAGGATGATCTAAATAGTGCATGACATAGTATACATGGTATAGTAAATGGAGCCTCTACCTTCTGAAAGACTGGATGAAAAGAAATTAAGGTACCTTGAGGGGCTGGGAGATGGCTCAGTCCATAAGGTACTTGCTGAACAAACCTAGAACCTAAGTCCCATTCCTAGAAGCCACATTAAAAAAATAATGCTGTATCTGGCGGTACAAGCTTGCAAAGCTAGTGCTGGGGAGGCAAAGCTTGCTGACCAACCTGCTGGGTGAGCACCGAGATCACTGAAAGACCTTAGGCCAAGAAAGAAGATGGACAACGCCCGAGGATGACACCTGAGGCTGCCATCTGGCCTTCACACATACTTGCAACTATGTGTGCCCACGTATGCAAATGCAGAGATACACAAATACACTCATGCGTGAGCATGCACCTATACACACCCTCACATGCAGCCTAAGGTGTCTTTAAACTGGTGGCAATCCTCAGGGTTAGCCTCCCAAGTACTGGGCTTACCGAAGAGATGCAAAACACCCGACTGCATGCCTCATCTTGGCATGATTTTATCCCCTGTATCTGTTTGATTTATTATCATTCTATTATATACACAGAGAGAGTTGTTAGAACCATCAACTTGAACTGTGGTAAAGGACACAAGCCTGGTCTTTAACAGCACAGTGGATTTGGTGGTGTTCTCTGAGACCCACCCGAGGGACCGGCGGAGTGATCTAAGGAGCAGCTTCATCTCAATGCTTCTGATTTTTAAGCGTTTTCTTTCTTTTGAGTTGAACAGATCTGCCTGCGGTCAGCTACACTGCAAATTGACACCTTTAATTTTTAACAAGAACCGGTAAAAGGGAATCTAGCCATGCAAACTATAATTTTTTTCATGTACAATAAAACCACTTTGAAACTTGCTATTCATTGCTATACGCAAAATTTTGCAAGTTCTTCTCAATTTATTCTCTGGGTTGAATAGAAAACTTCAAATTTAGTGATATTCAGAGCATAGTCTCACTCAGAAGCCAGGCTGTAGCTCAAGATGGCCTCAAACTCATGGCAATCCTCCTGCATTAGCCTCCCAAGTGCGGGAATTACAGGGAGAGCCAAACTGCCTGGTTGCACACCTCATCTTGGTGTGGCCTTTACTTGCTGTAGCGATTTGGTTTATTATCATTGCATCACACTTTAGATTTAGTGTGTGCGTATGTACGTTTGCTTGCACTTGCATGTGTGGAGGCAGAGACTCATTTTGGGTATCTTCTTTGTTCGTTCTCCACCTTATTTTTTTGAACCAGGTCCCCTCACTGGAGCTGTAGTTAGCCATTTTGGTAGACTATCTGGCCAGCAAGGTCCTGGTAGCCACCTGTCTGTCTCCCAATGCTATGGTCCTAGTTCTGTGTAGTTGCAGCTGGCTTTCCCAATGGATGCTAAATGTCTGAACTCAGGTCCTTTTGTTGTACAGGAAGTACTTTGCACAATGGGCCATAATCCCAGCCCTTACACTAAACTCCTTTTATCTTTGAGATTATAAAATTACATCATTTTCCCTTTCTTCTCCCTCCAAAGTCTCTCTTATATCCCTCCTTTCTCTCTTTCAAATTCACGACTTCTTCTTTCATTAATTGTAATATAATGCATGCAATATATACATATATATATTTCTAAATATATCCTTCTCTGTCTGTATAATGTTACTTTAATGTATGTTTTCAGGGCTAATCATTTGGTAGTAGATAACTAATTGGTGTGTTCTTCCTTGGAGAAAATTATTTCTTCCATTTTCAGCATTCCTTAGTAGCCCATAATCCTTTCTGTACACGTATAGGGGAC